CGGCTAAGAAAACAGAGCCGATGTCTCCGGAACCGAGACGGAGACGGAATCTGAGATCGGAGAGTGAGAGAGATGATCGGAGTGAAGGAGGGAGTTTCGAGGATGAGAATGAACCGTGAGCTGATGGTGCTGGTGTTAAAGCTGCGGCGGAGGAGGAGGAACGGGAACCGGAGCTTGTGCTTCGATTCACGGTGGTTCCGGCTGATGTGAAACTTATGCTTTGTAAATCGTCGGCTAAATCGTCAATCCATGGCTCCATTTTCCGATCTACTCAGTGACGACGAGAGAGAGAAGAAGAAGAGAGAAATAGAGAAAGAGAGAAAGAGAGAGAGAAGTAACTGTGAGATTTTGCCTTTTTGGGGATGAGAATCAAAAAGAAGATTACAAAAGACGATGGCATGAGTTGTAATTTAAGGGTTTGGGTATGACTCGTTTTGTAATTTTAACGTATTGGCTTATATTTAAAGCAAATTATATATATATCGATGGTTATGAGATGATGATATGTTTTATTTTATTTTATGGAAGTTAGACAATAATTAGGGAATTATTTGAGAGGATTTTATTTAAAAGATCTTTGTTGTTACAATTGTTTCAAAAGAGAGAAACAAAGAGACATTATAATCTAGGCCCCTACGGGGATAAAGATAATGACATATACATATTTTGTGTTTGTTTCTATTTTTAATTGTGATTATTAGTTTTTGTTTTTGTTGTATGGTACAATATTATATAAATAAAATATCTAAACATTGTCACCAAGGCACCAAGGAGAGGGACGTGGACAATTTGTATAGTGAACTCAAATCCTTATTGTACGAACCTTGGGTTTGTGGTCGGTCGATTTGGCCTTTGAAAACGAATTTATCGAGTCGAAGTCAGTTTCGTTGGTGTTGCATTTGGTTCAAGCCTAGGTTTGTTGCGTCAATGTAGAAAGTAAGGATTCCTTTGCGTACCTACCTCTTGAAAGCGTTAAGATTGTGATTTAGTGAAGCTTGTTAGGCTAATGGGTTTAGGTGTGGTGGTGTTTTGTCTTTTAATATTTCTCTGTGTTAGCCAGCCGGCTTCAGAATTGAGTTAAGTAGAAGGAGCACACATTGTTGATGTAACTGGTGTGTGAGGTTTTCTTTAAAGAAATCTCATGAATTTTAGCAAAGGATCGCTTTCACATTTTGTGGGGAGAAAATGCGAGTTAGAGTTTGGAACGCTACACAGTTGATAACTCTCCGTTTCGGGTTTTATGTGAAAGATTTCTAAGCTAGTTAAAGAGTATTTTGTAACTTCGCGGTTACAATTTGCTTTCGCCTTTCTATTTTGCAGAGGAAAAACAATAAAATCATTAGGTGGGTTTTAAGGAGTATGTTAGGGTATTAAGCTTTTAAATATAAATCAAAATTCATTAATATTGTTAAGATACTTAAGTTGGAGAAGGATTCATTTGGTGGGTTAAGAGACGCCACGTAGCGCAATCAGATTGGGTAAGTTTTTTTTTAATTATGACATTGCAATTTTTTTTTAAAACCATTTATTATGACATTACTATAGTTTCTATGGATTGGGTAAGTTGATAATTATATTATGACATAACAATTTTCAAACTTAATTATGAATTTGATGAATCGATGTTAAAAATTAGTCATACATGGAAAACACAAGTTAATTTTCTTATATTACAAATTATAAATTTATTTAATTTAAAAAAAAAATCTAAGATACCCAACTTAAAATCCTACCAATAAACACATCTCAAAACTAAAAACAAAATTAAAATTATTAAACTCTACTTTTTCAAATTTAATACTAAATTAATGCTAACATACCCTAACTAACATACTCCCTCTAAATGTTGCTCTTACCGTTTTGTATAAATCATATAGTATGTGGTCGACTAGATGGACCAAAAATTAGTCTCAAACATGAAGTTTTTTTAGTCATATCAAAGAAATATATACAAGTAAATGAAGGAAGATTTAAATTCATCATAACTTCAAACATTCGAAACATTAACAAAAAAAGAAGAGTATTTTGCTAACTCCGCGGTTACAGTTTGCTTCCGCCCTTCTATTTATACTCATTTAGGAAATAACATAAAATCATCGCCACTTCATGTAATTCATATAGTATCTTTTGCTATAGTCGACCGGATGGACCGAAAATTGCAGTTAATGTTTAGTGTTTTCATGTTTTTTTTTTTTGGTTATGAGACTATTTGTCGTCTAATTGTAAATTTATAATGGTTTTTTTTATTCATTTACATAGGAGGAAAAAAAACCGCTTTAATTAAGTATGGTTTTGATACCAATTTGTAACATTAGTCTCAAACATAGTGTTTTTTTTTTTTTTTTTTCTAGTTATACCAAGGAAATATAGACAAGTAAATTTAAGAGATTCAAATTTATCCATAACTTCAAACATTCGAATCAAGGACCAAAACAAATCTCTTAAGTGCGGTTTATAACACAACATAAATTATAAATTGTAAGATTCAAAAAAAAAAAAAAAAATTATAAATTGTATAAACAAACGTCGTGAGACTGACTATGCCGACCCGACCATCGTATCCTCCTGCCGTCTAATCATTCCATGCCCTTTATGTTTATAAATTAAATCATACTTGTGGTTTTCACCGGCCGCCTAACTTTGGTTACTAACTTTTCCAAATGGGCTATGGTATGTTTTGCCAATCATGGGCCTGAGTTTATATTCGTCTCTCTTCTTCAGAAGCTTTAAAAAACCACTATGGCACTCTCTATGAATCTGTGTAAATGTAATACTCTTATATACAAGTGTACAGTCCTACCATAAGCTCAATAAGTAACTCATTTGTCATTTATCAATCAACGAAGTATTGATCACGAGACCTAACTTGTCATAGAAACTACAACACAATATAAAGGAAGAAGAACTGAAGTACAACTGAAACAAACATATCATGAAAGTTCACAACGTTCGTTAGCCAAAACATGAATAAATTAAACCCTACCTACCTTTTTAAAACTATGATGCTCTAACCAAACCAAGGAAGAACACAAGTACTTTTCATTAGAGTAAAGACCTAGTAGCAAACTTATACAACCCTTGTATTCACATCCACTTATGGCTTTTGATAAAAAGACCTATTAGCAACTATACAGATTTTGTATTCACAAACACATGTCTTCGCATCACTCAGTTGCAATTCATTAACTCGATACTTAGTTCACGAAACTTCAACATTTGTTTATGTTTATTCCCAATTATACCCCTCTCGTCCTCTGTTTATTACGAAACAAGACTTGAAAAAGAGCAGAAGAAGAAACTCGTATATCCCCAAAGTCTCCAACTTTACAGGGGGAATGATGATGTACTGTCCAACAATCCCTTCACATTTACAGTTTTGCCACTACACTTATCTTTCTCTTCCTTCTCATTTCGATTCCACTTTCCGATCATCCCACAATAACCCGAGTCTCGTTTCGATTGCCCTAGAAAAACCCAGAATTTCTCATTCCCTTAAGTGCTTTGCATCATCTTCAATGGAGACGACGACTCCGGAACAGAGCAGCGAGACCAAACCTTACTCTGTTCTTTTCGTCTGTCTAGGGAACATCTGTCGGAGTCCAGCAGCTGAAGGTGTGTTTAGAGATATTGTGAAGAAGAGAGGTCTCGATTCTAAATTCAACATTGATTCCGCTGGAACCATTGATTATCACGAGGTACACTTACCATTTCTGTTCCGTTTCCTTTTTGTTCCCTTTTCGAATTCAAAGATAATAACTTTAGGGTTGTGTAAGAAGAAGACTGATGCTTGATTAGAACGATTAGTGAATGATTCTTTTCAGATGTAGAAAGGTTAGATTTTGGATTTAGGGTTTTTGTTTTTGGTTGATGTAATTTGGTGGGAGTAAGGAACGATGGAGGATTTTGAAGTTTATGTTTCTGTTTCAGTTTTTGATTTGTGAAAGTGTTCTCTTTACAAAGGGATGAACAAATACAATAATCTAACTTTAGGGTTGTATAGAAAGATTGATGCTCGATTTGGGCAATTAGTGAATGATGCTTTTTTAGACGTAGAAAGGTTTGGTTTTGGATTTATGTAATTTGGTGGGAGTAAGGGAGCAGTGGAGACTTTGAATTTTATGTTTCTGATTCAATTTTTGATTTGTGAAACTGTTCTTTTAAAAGGGGAATATGGCGGATCCTAGAATGAGAAGTGCTGCGAAACGTCGCGGGATTGAGATAACATCATTATCCAGACCGATTAAGGCATCTGACTTCAAGGAATTTGATCTCATTCTTGCTATGGATGAACAGAACAAAGGTTGAAGAAGGAGTATATATTGAAGGCTTATAATGTATTGCTTAGGACTAGGAATTTGCAAATAAATATGAGTTTGAATGTTTGATGTTTACAGAGGATATATTGAAGGCTTATAATGTATGGAAAGCCAGAGGGAATTTCCCGCCCGATGCAGATAAGAAGGTACCACCGTTTGTGTTTGTTGTTGTTTGCTTGACTATGGAACTCTTTCTAGGAGATTTTCTGAACATTTTTCCATTGAAATTTCAGGTTAAGCTAATGTGTTCGTATTGCAAGAAACACAATGACAAGTTTGTTCCTGATCCATATTATGGTGGAGCTCAAGGTTTTGAGAAGGTAATTAGCATTAGAGATTGGAGAAGCTTATTGTGGAGTAGTACTAGTAACTATTTGTTTAGACAGATGAAATGGTAGATTTTAGTCTATAAGACTTTGAAATGGCATGCCACTGTCACGACCAAGTAGCCTTCCGTTGCAGAATTTTATTGTTTTGTTTGGACAAACTCACAAGGAAACTTTAATCTTTGTCTGTTACTTGGTCTGCTGTATCTTTTGCAGGTACTGGACTTGCTTGAAGATGCTTGTGAGTCTTTGCTGGACAGTATCACCGTGTAAAGTTGATGATATTGCAAGTTCAACGTCCCACTTTTGTTGTTTCCATTATTGAGATTAATTGCTTTGCACATAAAACTGAGAGTTGTATTACTACATTTATAGACATATTAATAATGTCAAAACATGAGAAATGGTGTGAAGCTTGAATCTTTGACCTTGTTAAACTGAACATATTCTTAAGAAGAGATTTCTGTTGATGTTAATTAAAGTGAACATATTTATACATAAGTCTTTCGTTCTATCATTATTATAGAATGTGTGGACGTGAGGTGTTGTTGTTTGGGATGATAATAGTCATATTTCCCTTATCTTTATTTGGCTTCCGAGAAATTAAGTGAATGGTGGTGGGAGCATAGGGACAGTGGTTTTGTCGTTAGCAATATTTTCCACGAAATCTCATCTTATTTTCTATGGAGTTTCTGAGACAATAGAGTCTCTCTATCTATATCATAGAGAACCTCTTCCTCTTTGTTAAAATCCTTCTTTCCACCCATCGATCTAGGAATCCTTGATCCTCTCTCTACCATAGTAATGAATTCTTCTTTTATCATTTGTTCTGTCGTAGCTGCTGTAGGCTTCTTTAAGGTTTATAAAAGATACAGATTCCATCAAGACAAGAAAGATACTACAAAATCTTCTTCTTTATCTTCTCCATCTCCTCCAAGTTCTCTGTCTCTTCCATCTCCTTCAACTTCTTTATCTCTTTCATCTCCTTCAACTTCCGTATCTCAAGTTTGGGAACACCATGTCTTCCCCAGCTTCCACGGGGCAGATGTCCGAAAAACTATTCTTAGTCACATTTTGGAATCATTCAGAAATAAGGGAATCGACTCATTCATTGATAACGATATAGAGAGGAGTAAGTCGATCGGTCCTAAGCTTGTAGAAGCTATCAAAGGATCAAAGATTGCAATCGTCTTGCTTTCCAAGAACTATGCTTCTTCGTCTTGGTGTCTTGATGAGTTGGCAGAGATCATGAAATGCAGGGAAGTGTTGGGTAAAATTGTCATGACCATTTTCTATGAAGTTGATCCAACTGACATAAAGAAACAGATTGGTGATTTTGGAAAAGCCTTTAGAAAAACTTGTAAAGGTAAAACAAAAGAGCGTACTGAGATATGGAGAAAAGCTTTGGAGGATGTGGCCCAAATCGCTGGATATCATTCTCGCAACTGGTTTGTCCTCTTGATTTCTACTCTCCTTAGTTAATATTTCCTTGTAGAGTTTATTGACAGTTTTACTTACTATCTTCCAATGTTAGGGTCAATGAAGCGGCCATGATCGATAAAATAGCAACTGATGTTTCTAACATGTTGAATAGCTCCATACCATCAAGAGATATTGACAGTTTAGTAGGGATGGGAGCTCATATGGAAAGGATGGAACAATTGTTACGTCTAGATTTGGATGAGGTAAGGATGATCGGGATCTGTGGGCCACCTGGGATTGGTAAGACAACCATCGCAAGAGTTCTGTTTAACCAAGTCTCCAGCATATTCCAACTTAGTGCAATCATGGTTGATATCAGAGGAAACTATCCAAGACCGTGTTTAAATGAGTATAGTGCACAATTGGAACTTCAAAAGCAAATGTTGTCCCAGATGATCAATCATAAAGAAATAACGATTTCCCATGTAGGAGTGGCAAAAGAACGGCTAAAAGACAAGAAAGTGTTTCTCGTTCTTGATGATGTGGATCACTTAGGACAACTAGATGCATTGGCGAAAGAAATTCAATGGTTTGGTCCTGGAAGTCGGATTATAATCACAACTGAAGATCAAAGAGTTCTCAAAGGTCATGGGATCAAACATATTTACCATGTGAAGTTTCCATCAAGTGATGAGGCTTTTCAAATCTTTTGTATGCATGCCTTTGGACAGAAACACCCATATAAAGGTTTCTATGAGCTTGCTAAGGAAGTTGCATACCTTGCTGGTGAACTCCCTTTGGGATTGAAGATTCTAGGCTCTGCTCTACGGGGAAGGTCCAAGCAGGAGTGGAAAATGATGCTACCAAGGTTAAAGACCGACCTTAATGGAGAAATAGAGAGCATTATAAAGTTCAGTTATGATGACTTAAGTAATGACGATAAAGATTTATTTCTTTATATAGCCTGCTTTTTCAGCACTAAAGGTCGTGATATCTTGGAAAGCGTTCTTCATAAGAAGTTTTTGCGTGTGACGCAAGCTGGTCTTCAAGTCTTAACTGACAAATCTCTCATATCTATTGACACACTCGGACATATATATATGCATACTCTACTTAAGCAATTCGGAATAGAAACTTCTCGTAAGCAATTCCTTCATCATCAGCTTTTGAAATGTCAACTTTTGGTTGTTGGAAGAGATATTTGTGAAGTGCTCGGTAGTGATAAAACAGTAAGAGTTTTTACCCTACAAATTTAGTTTATTTGATAACTACCTTTGTAATCTAATATTGTTTTTGGTTATTTTTCAGGATAATAGAAGTTTTATAGGGATTAATTTAGATTTATCTGAGACTAAGGAAGAATTGAATATAAGTGAGAAAGCACTTGCAAGAATGTCTGATCTCGAAATCATAAGAATCAATGGTGATAAGGATTTTGATCCTTCTCAGCTTGAGAGACTGCACTCACTTCTGTATCATTCTCAAAAGATTAGATTACTTGATTGGAGTTATTTCCAAAATACATGTTTGCCATCTACTTTTAATCTGAAGTTTCTCGTAGAACTAGATATGTGTTTCAGCAAACTTCAGAAGCTATGGGAAGGAACTAAAGTAAGTATTTTTGATAGTAAGTTTCAATTTTCAAAACCTTTTTTTATCTCTATATAATTTGTGTTTGTAAGCAAATTATTGTGTATAACAAACTCTACTCTAGCTTTATAAACCAATCCTCTCAACACTTTTTTATTTGTCAATGCAGCAACTGAAAAATCTCAGGAGGATGAATTTATATCTTTCAAAAGATCTGAAAGAGCTTCCTGATCTTTCAACTGCCACTAATCTTGAAGATTTATTTCTCAAAGGATGCTCAAGTTTAGTGGAGCTTCCTTCTTCAATTGGGAATGCAACTAATCTCCGGGAATTAGACCTCTTGGGATGCTCAAGTTTAGTGGAGCTTCCTTCTTCTATTGGGAATGCAACTAATCTACACTATTTAGTCCTCTCTCAATGCTCAAGTTTAGTGGAGCTTCCTTCTTCTATTGGGAATGCAACTAATCTCCAGTATTTAGTCCTCTCTCAATGCTCAAGTTTAGTGGAGCTTCCGTCTTCTATTGGGAATGCAACCAGTCTCCGGGAACTAAATCTCTCTAAGTGCTCAAAGCTGGTGAAAATCCCTTCTTCAATTGAGAATTTGACCAATCTCGAGAAATTGAATCTTAGTGATTGCTTTAATCTTACTGAGCTCCCTCTTTCTATTGGAACTGCCACAAATCTGAGGGAATTGAATATCAGTGGATGCTCAAGTCTCGTGAATCTCCCGTCCTCTATTGGAGATCTCACTAATCTCAAAGAATTTGATCTATCTAACTGCTCTCGGTTGAAAAGTTTTCCTGAGATCTCCACAAACATTGAGGTACTCAAGCTTACAGGGACTGCAATCAAAGAAGTTCCTATGTCGATCATGTCGTGCTCTGGTCTTTCTGATTTCCGAATATCATACTTTGAAAGCCTCAAGGATTTCCCGCATGCTCTTGACATCATCACGTATCTGCAGTTGAACGAAGATATACAAGAAGTTTCTCCATGGGTCAAGGAAATGTCTTGTTTACGTACACTTAGACTCGACAACTGCAAGAATCTGGTATCACTCCCCCAATTTTCAGATTCCCTATGTGAAATAGATGCAGACAATTGTCAATCCCTTGAGAGACTGGATTGTTCCTTTGAAGATGACTATATCGGTCTGGAGTTCAGAAACTGCTTCAAGCTGAATCAAGAAGCCAGAGATCTCATCATGCACACATGGACTGCTACATATGCGATATTACCAGGTACACAAGTGCCTGTCTGCTTCAATCACCGAGCTACTGCTGAGGGTTCCTTGACAATTAAGTTGAATGAGTCGTGTCTTCCTGAATCTTTGAGTTTTAAGGCTTGCATCATGCTGGTTAATATTAATGAAGAAACGGTTGATGAGCATGTTTCAATGAGAGTAAATATTAAGATCATGGACAAACAGAATGATCTCGAAGTTTACATAAATCGAGCTTTAACAGAGCATATCTACACATTTGACGTTGAAGCAGAGGATGTGACTTCCACCGAGCTTGTCTTTGAGTTCACAACAACCAATAATAGCAAATGGAAGATCGGAGAATGCGGGGTATATCAAATCTTGGAGGTTCCTTAGTGGTAATGAAGATGAAGAGAGCTTCGATCAGAGATGGGCATCGATGGAGGAGGTTAAGAAATTTTTATGCCATTTTCTTCTTCAATAAAAAGCTTTAAATTTACATAAGATTGTGTAATGTTTTAATTGAAACTAATTGCAGATAAAGAACAACGAAAATAGAGTTCAGAAGAAGATGAAGGAGGAATCGTCAAGAGCTATTGAGACTTTTAAATTCTTGTTTCTGATTCACTTTTGATTATGAAAAGTGCTTCGAAACGTCGCGGGATTGAGGGATAACATCATTAACCAGACCAAGTCAGGCAGATGAACAAAACAAAGGTAGAAGAAACAGTAATTATTCAACATAATGCTACAGAAATTATGTGGTTAATTAGATTAGTATCTCGGACAAGGATTTTGTAAGTTGAGATCTGTGTAGTCTTGGGAGAGTTGAAGTTAATATCCTTTATTGATGAATTTTGATGTTATGATAAGACCATTGTGGTTGTTGTTTGCTGGACTTTATTAAATTATTAGGTTAGGCTAATGTACAACAAACACGATTAGGGTGGTTTTAAGAAGGTAACTATTATATCTGTTTTTGAATGGTTTTAAGACAGTTGCTCCTCTGGTTAGCTAAATAAGTCAATAAGTCACTGTAGGTAGCTGAACCCTCCATATATATAAGAAGGTCGTTTAGGCAAAACAAAGTATAGCTCGGTCGGTAGATTCAGTGCTTATGTCGCACTTCTCTTAATGAGTCTGTCCGTTCAACTATCGGAAAGGTGCATCAGCTTAATTAGCTCTTGTAGTGTCACTAGTCAGGCTGTTCGGTCAGGTAATTCTATTAAAAACAGCTTCATGTATTACTACACTTTTAATTTTTGTAAATGCTTATATTCCTGGTTGATCAGTTTTGTTAGGACAAAGCTCACATGGAAACTTGAATCTTGATCTCTTACTTGGTTTATTTGTTTCTTTGACAGGTACTGGAGTACTTTCTTAAAGATGCATGTATGTGAGTCTTTGCTGGATAATATCACTGTGGAAATTTGATTATATTTTCAAGTTACAATTCTCACTTTGTAAATAATATATGTAAGTTACAATTCTCACTTTGTTGGACATAATAAAATAGAAAATTCTGTTATTACATTTTAGACATCATAATGTCAATAGTGAGAAATTATATGACATGAAGCTTTAATCTTTTGTTGCTGTTTACTTTGGAAAACTTAATTGTCATATCATTATCTAATATACACGATTGATTGATAGTGATTATTGGAATTACAAAGCAAGAGTCTCTGAAAATTACGATGAGGCTTGACTTCCTTGAGAAAACTTTTGCATTGGTGCTGGGAGTTTGCACACTTTAGCAAAACTACATACACTAAACTTGTAGCCATGTGAGTTTGGGAAGGACTTGAGATACCATAGAGTATCACAAAATGTTTGATGAACATGATGAAAGCTTCACAAAATGGAGGAGGTATTAAAATTTTCTGCCATTTTCATCTTTTAAGTTTATAAAATTATGCATTACTTATGCTAAACTTGTTTATGATTGTCAATGTGTAATATCCCGGTTGTGTTTAAATGAAGATGGAGAAGAGGAGGAGAAGGTGAAGAAAGAATCTAAGTCATGAGGATATGTCAGATACTATTCACCATTGTGTAGCTAAGTAGCTGCATAATCTTATATTACAGTAGCATGCTGTTGAAAAGAGAGAACAGAGAGAGTCAGCCATAATCCTGTTGGAACCAGAGTAAGAAGCATCTTGTCAAAACCGTATTCTGAGAGAGTACTTGTGTTTAGTTTTAATATTTGAGCAGATTCAAGTTAATGGATAACACACTAAAATTTTAGTAGAGGAGCTATAGTCTTGTTCTTGTTGCAGTGATAACAAGTAGATACATCAAAGGTATCTTCATCTCATCTTTACTTAAACTCAATCTATCAGATGATACAACAATTTGCGTCAAAATTCTCTGTTTGTAAACAAATAAGCATTTTTATTGAATAAATAAAATACATATTAAGGAAAAAGAAAACAGCACAAAATAATAACAAAGAATAGAAGTGGAGACACAATCTGTGTGTGTATGTATAAAGAAACATCCAAAGTTCCCATCAAGCTTGCAAGAAGCCTCTGGATGCACAAGAGGGCGTTCTGGTGGTGACCTAGGCGTTCTTGTGGTTCATCAGTTTCATCACTCTGTTCTTTCGCCTTGAGGTCTGTTACGATCACTCTCTCCGCTGCGTGGTACTGTATGAACTGTGAAGGAAGGAATACCTGGAAGTCATTCTCCTCAAAGCTTGTGACACTCTCATGCCAGAAATACCAGTCAAGATGGCAAAGAAGAACCTCTTGCTTATACCTTTCAAAGAAACTTAATTGCTAGATCTTGTCTTTTAGCCCTTCTTCTAGTTGGTTCAATGCATCCAACATCTCCTTAAAAGTTCAGAATTTAACTACGATCATGTACTTAAAAACAGATATAATGTTGTCGGAATCACTTATATAACAAGATTTTTTCTCACTGTAGATTTGGCAGAGAATTAAGAAATTCAAGTTCCACATGACACCTAAATAAAAAGCAGTCCTCAGGCTTTGCATCTAACTCGTCTTACCTCAGTCACTCCACGCTTGTGTTTGTAGACTGTGGATTAAACGCGGGAGTCCAAGATCAACCATCTGGGCACCAAATGTACCTTTTGGAAGCAAGTTCCTGAATGCCAATATGACAACCTATAAGATAAAAATATTGTCAGACTAACACAATAACAAGTGCATCACACGCACAGTTTATGAAAATGAAAGATTCTAAAACAAATAAAAGAAGCAAAATTCTTGGTATTGTGCAGCTGAGATTCTGATCAATCAACCAAATCATGTCATATATATGACTAGTATAGTACCCGTCCGATGGACGGGTTATCTTTATTTAAAATTAAATTAAAATAAAAATTAATTATAACTTATAAAAAAGTAATTTCTAAATTTTTTTTGAAAAATAAGAGAAATTAATTTTAATTCGGAAAGAGGATTTATTTGGTTTGAACTATCAAATAAACGTGTACATATATATATATATATCTCTTAAAATTCGTTATTAAATGTTAATTATAAAAATCTAGTAATGTCAAACTAACAATCACCAAAACATTTGGGAGCTATTTGAGAGCTATTCACCATTACTCATAATATTGCTAAAATATTTTATAAAATCTTAATTTAGCAATTATCCTCTAAAACATGATTATACCATTTTGTAAAAATTGTTATTTCTTAACTTTCAATTTTTCAAAAAATCATTCTCAGACTATGAAAATTAATTAATTATTA